AGACAAGGTGTTTTTTTTATGCCTTAATGAAACCAATATTGAGGAGGTGTGGAGTGCAACTTGATAGTAATACAAATTGAACTGTGCTAGTTTTTGTTTGCCCAGGTTTCTCTGGAAACTTTTTGATGAGCTGGTGCCCTCCTGAACTTGGCCTTAAGATTTGAATTAACCTGGGATGCCTGGGTGGCTCAGTGGTCTGCCTTTGGCTCAGAGTGTGATCCTGGGGTCCTGGGATTGAGTCCTGCATCCAGCTCCCCACGGGGAGCCTGTTTCTCCCTCTGTCTATGTTTTTGTCTCTCTCTCTGTATCTTTCATGAATAAATAAGTAAAATCTTTAACAAAAAGATTTGAATTAACCTTATTCACAGGCCTTGTCTTGAAGATAAGAGAGAGCAATATAAGCTACTAGCTGATGGCAATTTCCTCTGATGGCTCTGTTCAGTTCCATTCAATTTACTTACTTTGGAGTTAGAGAGCACTAACTGAAGAATACTAGTGTGCATAGGACATGATCACAGCTTCTTCCTCTTCTTATCCCAATAGGGCAAACAGCCATTTACCAGCTTTGCTTTTGGCTTTAGTGAAAGCAGATCTTGATTGGGAGCAATCGAGAAGGCAGGCAACTGAGAGACCATCTGTGTGCTTAGCGCAACGGCCCTAAAATTCAGATAGTAGAAGCAGATCTGAACATCACTAGATATAGGTAGATAAAATTTTTTCCCAAAGGTTAGCCAAGTGTCTGAATATTCCATGTGTCTCACTTTGCAATACTCAAACTGGAATTGTATTTTACGTTGATCCTCATGGCTCCTCAATAAAGCCCAAAGAGGTTACGGGTCAGTAGTTATAGCAAACATCACAGAACTGGGAGAATCGCTCATGTAGATGTTTGTATTATGGATATAGAACATGACAAGTTCAGGGCAGCCCGGGTGGCCCAGCGGTTTAGCATGCCGCCTTTGGCCCGGGGTGTGATCCTGGAGACCTGGGATCGAGTCCCATGTCGGGCTCCCTGCATGGCGCCTGCTTCTCCCTCTGCCCGTGTCCTCTACCTCTCTCTTTCTCTGTGTCTCTCATGAATAAATAAATAATATCTTTTAGGAAAAAAAGAACATGAAAAGTCCTTTTTTTAAATAATAAATTTATTTTTTATTGGTGTTCAATTTGCCAACATACAGAATAACACCCAGTGCTCATCCCGTCAAGTGTCCCCCTCAGTGCCCGTCACGCTCTCACCCCCACCCCCCGCCCTCCTCCCCTTCCACCACCCCTAGTTCGTTTCCCAGAGTTAGGAGTCTTTTTGTTCTGTCTCCCTTTCTGATATTTCCCACACATTTCTTCTCCCTTCCCTTATATTCCCTTTCACTATTATTTATATTCCCCAAATGAATGAGAACATATAATGTTTGTCCTTCTCCGATTGACTCATTTCACTCAGCATAATACCCTCCAGTTCCATCCACGTTGAAGCAAATGGTGGGTATTTGTCGTTTCTAATGGCTGAGTAATATTCCATTATATACATAAACCACATCTTCCTTATCCATTCATCTTTCGATGGACACCGAGGCTCCTTCCACAGTTTGGCTATTGTGGACATGGCTGCTAGAAACATTGGGGTGCAGGTGTCCCGGCATTTCATTGCATCTGTATCTTTGGGGTAAATCCCCAACAGTGCAATTGCTGGGTCGTAGGGCAGGTCTATTTTTAACTCTTTGAGGAACCTCCACACAGTTTTCCAGAGTGGCACACCAGTTCACATTCCCACCAACAGTGCAGGAGGGTTCCCCTTTCTCCACATCCTTTCCAACATTTGTTGTTTCCTGCCTTGTTAATTTTCCCCATTCTCACTGGTGTGAGGTGGTATCTCATTGTGGTTTTGATTTGTATTTCCCTGATGGCCAGTGATGCGGAGCATTTTCTCATGTGCTTGTTGGCCATGTCTATGTCTTCCTCTGTGAGATTTCTCTTCATGTCTTTTGCCCATTTCATGATTGGATGTTTGTTTCTTTGCTGTTGAGTTTAATAAGTTCTTTATAGATCTTGGATACTAGCCCTTTATCTGATAGGTCATTTGCAATTATCTTTTCCTATTCTGTAGATTGTCTTTTAGTTTTGTTGACTGTTTCTTTTGCTGTGCAAAAGCTTCTTATCTTGATGAAGTCCCAATAGTTCATTTTTGCTTTTGTTTCTTTTGCCTTCATGGATGTATCTTGCAAGAAGTTGCTGTGGCCAAGTTCAAAAAGGGTGTTGCCTGTGTTTGCCTCTAGGATTTTGATGGATTCTTGTCTCACATTTAGATCTTTCATCCATTTTCAGTTTATCTTTGTGTATGGTGTAGAGAATGGTCTAGTTTCATTCTTCTGCACGTGGCTGTCCAATTTTCCCAGCACCATTTATTGAAGAGACTGTCTTTTTTCCAGTGGATAGTCTTTCCTGCTTTGTCGAATATTAGTTGACCATAGAGTTGAGGGTCCACTTCTGGATTCTCTATTCTGTTCTATTGATCTATGTGTCTGTTTTTGTGCCAGTACCACACTGACTAGATGACCACAGCTTTGTAGTACAACCTGAAATCTGACATTGTGATTCCCCCGGCTTTGGTTTTCTTTTTTAATATTCGCCTGGCTATTCGGGGTCTTTTCTGATTCCACACAAATCTTAAGATGACCAATATCCCTAATGAACACAGAAGCAAAAATTCTCAACAAGATACTAGCCAATAGGATCCAGCAGTACATTAAGATTATTCACTATGACCAAGTGGGATTTATCCCAGGGATGCAAGGGTGTGGTTCAATACTCATAAAGCAACCAATGTGATAGATCATATCAACAAAAGAAAAAACAAGAACCATATGATCCTTTCAATACATGCAGAGAAAGCATTTGACAAAATACAGCATCAGCATCCATTCCTGATCAAAACTCTTCAGAGTGCAGGGATAGAGGGAATATTCCTCAGCATCTTAAAAGCCATCTACGAAAAGCCCACAGCAAATATAATTCTCAATGGGGAAGCACTGGGAGCCTTTCCCCTAAGATCAGGAACAAGACAGGGATGTCCACTCTCACCACTGCTATTCAACATAGTACTGGAAATCCTAGCCTCAGCAATCAGACAACAAAAAGACATTAAAGGCATTCAAATTGGCAAAGAAGAAGTCAAACTCTCCCTCTTCGCCGATGACATGATACTCTACCTAGAAAACCCAAAAGCCTCCACCCCAAGATTGCTAGAACTCATACAGCAATTTGTCAGTGTGGCAGGATACAAAATCTATGCCCAGAAATCAGTGGCATTTCTATACACTAACAATGAGACTGAAGAAAGAGAAATTAAGGAGTCAATCCCATTTACAATTGCACCCAAAAGCATAAGATACCTAGCAATAAGCCTAACCAAAGGAGTAAAGGATCTATACCCTAAAAACTATAGAACACTTCTGAAAGAAATTGAGGAAGACACAAAGAGATGGAAAAATATTCCATGCTCATGGATTGGCAGAATTAATATTGTGAAAATGTCAATGTTACCCAGGGCAATTTACACGTATAATGCAATCCCTATCAAAATACCATAGACTTTCTTCAGAGACTTAGAACAAATTATTTTAAGATTTGTGTGGAATCAGAAAAGACCCCAAACAGCCAGGGGAATTTTAAAAAAGAAAACCATATCTGGGGGCATCACAATGCCAGATTTCAGGTTGTACTACAAAGCTGTGTTCATCAAGACAGTGTGGTACTGGCACAAAAACAGACATATAGATCAATGGAACAGAACAGAGAACCCAGAAATGGACCCTGAACTTTATGGTCAACTAATATACGATAAAGGAGGAAAGACGATCCACTGGAAGAAAGACAGTCTCTTCAATAAATGGTGCTGGGAAAATTGGACATCCACATGCAGAAGAATGAAACTGGACCACTCTCTTGCACCATACACAAAGATAAACTCAAAGTAGATGAAAAATCTAAATGTGAGACAAGATTCCATCAAAATCCCAGAGGAGAACTCAGGCAACACCCTTTTTGAACTTGGCCACAGTAACCGGAGAAGGACAAACAGTGTATGTTCTCATTCATTTGGGGAATATGAATAATAGTGAAAGGGAATATAAGGGAAGGGAGAAGAAATGTGTGAGAAATATCAGAAAGGGAGACAGAACATAAAGACTTCTAACTCTGGGAAATGAACTAGGGGTGGTGGAGGGGGAGGAGGGCTGGGGGTGGGGGTGAATGGGTGACGGGCACTGAGGTGTACACTTGACGGGATGAGCACTGGGTGTTATTCTGTATGTTGGTAAATTGAACACCAATAAAATTAATTTATAAAATTAAAAAAAAAACAGACACATAGATCAATGGAACAGAATAGAGAACCCAGAAGTGGACCCTCAAGTTTAAGGTCAACTAATATTCGATAAAGGAGGAAAGACTATCCACTGGGAAAAAAGAGAGTCTCTTCAATAAATGGTGCTGGGAAAATTGGACATCCACATGCAGAAGAATGAAACTAGACCACTCTCTTTCACCATACACAAAGATAAACTGAAAATGGATGAAATATCTAAATGTGAGACAAGATTCCATCAAAATCCTAGAGGAGATCACAGGCAACACCCTTTTTGAACTCGGCCACAGTAACTTCTTGCAAGATACATCCAAGAAGGCAAAAGAAACAAAAGAAAAGTCCTTTTTGTAACACGAAGCAGGATGATCCCTAGCCTTATGCAGTTATTAAAGAGCTGGCACTTATTTTCCACTGTGTTTTGGCAGAAATTTGTGAGATTGAAAATGTATAAAAATCAAAAGCTGTGATATTCTAAGACTCAATAAATACTCATACTTAATATTTTGGCATACTTCCTTCTTTGTCTATGTATCTTATTATGTCTAAATGAGAATATACTGGGAGTATAATCTATCTATCTATCTTTATCCAAAACGTGTTTATTGGGATAGTTTCCCACTCATCTGGATTCAGGGTGCCTTTAGTACTGCTTCCATTTGTAGGAGCATTCTTCTGTAAGCCTTGCTTCTCCTCCTGTAGGCTGGCAGAGGACAGTGGAGCAGCGAGCACACAAAACCACCATTTGAACAAGGGTAAAGTCGGTGGTGATTTTGTAGCATCCCAGGCACTTCACATCCATGAAGTAGAGGTTGGGGCTCTGCACCAGGGGCTTCTTCTTATGCTTCCTCCTGTCCTCTTCCAGGGATGGGTGGAAGAGGTCCTTCATGGGAGAATGTTCTCATGGGGGAGGTTGTCACCCCTGGAAAGTGGGAGTATGATTTTATAGAGAGTTTTTATTAGAATTATAACATAGCAATGATTTCCATATGCTATATATTATTCCTTTCAGTAATATCTTAATGCCTGCACAATAGCTCATTTAGCTTTCTCCCAACATTTGCTTTTATAAAAAATATGATAAGCATTACTGCACATACAGATTTTCCTGTGTTTTGGATTTCTTTTTCCTCCTAGGATAGATTCCCAAAAATAACACCATTGAGGAAAAGACTTTGACGCCATGTCATGACTGATTGGTGAATAGATTCTTTCCTCTGTTCTTATGGGGTTTGAACACACTCAGTGAAATTATTTGGTCTGCAATCAGATGTTGAATGTTGCTCTATCAGATCCTTAGCAAGATTTTATATTTCTCTTAGACTTTTCCTGAAATACCAGTTTTCAAATCGTAGTGACAAGGTCATTAGTTTAGTGATAAGTAGCATGTGTAATTGATAGCAGGTTTTATTGAGAACATACTATGCATCAAGCATTGTGTTAAAATTCTAATGCAAATGACTTGATTTAGTATTTTTCGAGATTTCACGATCATCAGAAGCACTTGGATGTATAGTACAGTAACAGGATCTCAGATCCAGGAAGTCTTTAATGTCTCTGGGCTTAGTTACGACTGAAAAGGGGTGAGAGTACTGGCCTTGCCCAACTTATAGGGTTGCTGGGTAGTCTAATGGAAAGAAAATTTATTAAACTTTATGACAGTTATAAAATTCTATGTAAAGCAAGTTTTTAGTATTTTTTATTGGTTTATTGTATTTATTGGTAAGAACACTTGCCTACACCTCTCTTAGCATTGAAAACTTTAGTAGCCTAAATAAACCAGTGTAATTAAAGCTGGCCTGGGAAGGTTGGAATTTCATATTTCTTTAGTTTTGAAACTGATGATTAAATCCTGTAAAAAAACACAAAAACTCAGGTTAATGCATATATGAAGAATTTGGGGTATTACCCTATTGTACTAGAAATTGTATATAGGAGTTGGTTGAGAGTGTTTAAAGTTTATTGTGATGTTTGGGATATCACCTTTCTTTATTTACCATTCAAATAACTGTAAGTAGGAAAGGAAACACAGCCTTTGTTATATCTGGGGGAAAATATTTGAACACACCTTAATACATGGCACGCTACCAATGAAGCCAGCTATTAATAATTCTATTTAGATAGATTCGATGGCAGTTAACTATTGAAATTGACCGAGGAACTACAATATGATAAAAGGAAAATGAAGGCCAGGTAGACATTTAGGAAGATGGGACTGAAGGTAGTGGGCTTCATTGGCCCCTCTAATATCTTTGAGAGCTGGGCCTTAATTTGACAGCCTTAAAAGGTGGTCTAATTAACCTTGGGTTGTCATACTCTCCCCTTCCTTTTTAACCAGCAGCATGTTTTCTTGTTCCTGTAATACTTTGTCTGATTTTCTCTTCTGATATTTTTTGTCATTAACCCTTTGTGCCACTAAAGACAGCTTCCTGGATAATAATGGTGTTTGGATATCAGCCTAGGTATTATTTCTGCTCAAGCATACCCTAACTTTGGGTCCATCAAAGAAGTTCCTCTTCTCCCTAATCTAGCTCACCTTGCACTAGCCTAACACACGGGGCCTGTTGAAGACATCCTCTGGGTTGTAAAAGCCTCTCTTTCCAATTTCCAGCTTGGGATTTTTCAATGCCATATACCACCAGGCCTAGTGGGAAGATCTAAAATAAAAAAAACAAACAAACAAAAAACCCCCAAACAAAAAACACACCAACAAGTTTGTCAGGGATTTTGATTTCAAATAAGAAATGTGAAAGCTTAGAAGGTATGAACCTCACTGTTGTCACAGATGTCTTTTGAATGGTGGGCCCTGGGCCATTTTGTAAGAATGTGTATGTAGCGTGGGGTTCTCAAGGATTCAGACCAGGTAACAAGACAGCATGACTGCTAGTGTCATATGTTTCCAGAACCAAACTGACCAATCCATTACAAACATTTTTGACCAGTGTTCTGCAAGGCAAGCATCTTATATACTTAGCCATGTTCAAGTCCTTTAAAGATGAATGCTGGAGTCAGTTAATCCCAAGTATAAATAGCTCTGACCTTTAAAGCTCCGACCTGAGAAGGACGAATCAAGAAGATATGCATCAGTTTGGTTAACAACCAATCATAGAGAAAGACAAACCAACAGAAAGGCTGTTATAATTGTTTGCATTGCCCAAAAGGCAGAGTTTGCGAACAAGCTGAAATGATATTAAAAAATCAACGTCATAGAATAATCCTTGTCTTTCCTATCATAGTTTTATTAGCCTCTCTCCTTTGCAAGGCCATCAAGGTGATGTAGTTTTATTTCCAAAAATAATATAGTACTTTGCAGTCACTGGATATTGCTTTTGTTTTCTCCAAAAAAAAAAATAGAAAATATTCTCAAAGTCTTTAGCTTTTCTTAGAATTCATATTATTCTTTATTGTATGTATTTTTAAGATTTTATTTGCTCATTTAGTTGAGAGAGAGAGAGTGAGAGAGAGAGAGCTTGCGAGGTGGGGGAATGGGGACAAGCAAACTCCCAACCTGGGGCTCCATCTCATGACCCTGAGATCATGACCTGAGCTGAAACCAAGAGTCAGATGTTTAACTGACTGAGCCACTTGCGTGCCCCCATGCTATTCTGTAATGAAAAATTTAAACTATCCATGTATATTTATACAGAATATCTTCTGGGGGGGATCCCTGGGTGGCGCAGCGGTTTAGCGCCTGCCTTTGGCCCAGGGCGCGATCTTGGAGACCCGGGATCGAATCCCACATCGGGCTCCCGGTGCATGGAGACTGCTTCTCCCTCTGCCTATGTCACTGCCTCTCTCTCTCTCTCTCTCTCTCTCTCTCTCTCTCTCTCTCTCTCATAAGTAAATTTAAAAAAAAAAGAATATCTTCTGGGTTTTTGCTTAGATTGTCCCTTCTGCTTGGAATCCCATTATCTTCTCTTGCCTTCCCAGTAAACTTCGATTTACTCTTTGAGACTCAAATGTGTTTCAGGAAGTCTTCGTGGACTTTTACAGAGAGATAATTGCTTCTTCTTCTGTATTCCCATAGTATTTCATTCATACCACTTACCATATTGCTATAATTATTTGTCTCATCCCTGCCTCCTCCACTAACATGTGAAGCTCTGGAGGAAAAGGACTACATTCTAGTTTTCTCTGACCATTTAGAAAAAATAAACGCTTGTCAAATTTTTTTTTTAATAAATGGATTACGATTATTGCTGGCACCTGTCTGTGTTTCCTGAGTTCCACGGGACCACTGAAGGCACTGTGGTCTAGTGCCTGGAAAGGGTAATACAGTGGTTCCCTAGGTAGAGTCTATAGTTATTTTCAACAGAAAAAGAAGCTAGGATGGTAATTTTCAAACCTGGATGCTGATCAGTCACACAGGAAGCTTTTACAACTATGAATCCCTGGCCTCATCTCAGACCCCCTTACATCAGAGTACTGGGGGTAGGGCCCAGGCATTGACAGTGTTTAAGTCTTTCTGTATGATTCTAATGTGCTGGAAATGGAAGTAGGAGAGGTGCTGAGGTATAACTACAAAGTCAAGAACTTGAATCCAGGAATGAAATCATGGTTGACATAAATCCATGAAGCGGGGAGGACCCCCAATCAGAACACACAATAAAATGCTGATGAATGCTAAGTACTGTAATAATAGCCAGATAAAAGTCAGAACCTAGAACATGCAGAGATAAAAGATGGTCAGAAAGCAAGGTTTCTAATTATAACCAGCAGGTACCAGAAATCATACATTTCGTTTGAGCCATGGTTTGGGTCCATCTAGCTTGACAGACTTACAGGGTCTCACCTCTGCAGCCAAGGGGGGGGGGTTCCACAACAAATTGGATTTACTATAACACCATGGGCTTTATATGTGCACACAGTCTGTCTTTCTCATATTATTTCCCTTGCCAGCATTGGAAAGTTTTTTTTTAAAGATTCCATTCATTTATTCATGAGAGACACACAGAGAAAGGCAGAGACATAGGCAGAGGGAGCTTCTCCCTGCAGGGAGCCTGATGTGGGACTTGATCCCAGGACCCCAGGATCATGCCCTGTAGCCAAAGGCAGATGCTCAACCACTGAGCCACTCAGGTGCCCCAGTGTTGGAAAGTTTTGAGAAGAAACTCAGGAAAATCCAATTTCCAACAAAATTTCTCCCTTGCCCCTTTGTCTCATCCTTTCTCCTCTCTCCTTCTCCCCTCCTGCCTCCTTCTTCTTGCTATTATTATTAATATTCGGTGCAGCAATCATGTTGGGCCAAAGTTAAGTGAAAGAACTCTTGGATACTATGATGCAAAGAGTGTCATGCATTAAAAATATAAGCAGATTTGACAAGTGTGGTTAATGCTAAACAGTTGAAAAACAAGTTAAACGAGGTAATTTGCTATGTGTGCCAAATTCTTTGTTCTATACAACATTTCCTTTGGAAGACTATCATCTAATTCCACATGTATTTGTGTGAGATATTTAGTAATGGCTAACCAGACTTATTTTGAAGTGCCTATCTCTTCATACACCTCACAACAAGAATTATTATGACACATAGTGAGTCAAAATATCACTCTTAGAGGCAAGCTTCTTTAGGATTGCATTCAAAATACAATATTCCGGATGAGACTCTCTGCTTTGATAGCCAACTACTTATTTACTGTATTTTCTTAGTTTTACCATAATGTTTTCATGGCAATAATTTATGCTTAGGGAAGTATGATAGAGACTTAGAAGTCAGTGGTCTTGGGAATAAAGAAATCACTGGTAATATAGCAGAAGGAAATTTCAGTAGCAATGGTGTTGCAGCCAGATGACAGGATGCTGGTGGGTAAGGGGATGGTTCCAAAATGTAAGCAAGAGAAATACATTTCTTGGTTTTTGACAAGTTTAGAAGTAAAAGAAGTTGCAAGG